CGTTTGCATCAGTTCGTTAAAAATAATTGGAAGTTAATTCCATCAAAAAAAAAAAAAAAAAAAACAGAGAAACATTGTTATTATTTCCGATGTTCTTCCTTTCAAATTCAACAAAAACAAAAAAAGGCATGAGAAACTATAGCCATCGATTAGTTTATGCACAATTGGTTGAAACTCGACCAATTTATCATTCGAGTCAATAAATTCTGGAATACTCGCAATCTAGTTGCATTCATTGAGTTAGCTTACTCTTCATATATTTCTATTTTTCCCTTGATAACATTTACTGTTTCAGTTATTTCACAGAAAAAAGCAAAAATGATAGTATTTTACGATGAGTTTCCAATCCTTTAGTCCCAAAAGGTTAAATCTGCTGAAAACTAACTTTCCCTCTCCTCGAATGAGCGCTTACAAAATATGTAGTTTTCCACGCTTCCTTGTCATGTTGTGTATCGCGTTGACCGGAATAAGCTATTTTGAATGCGCCTATAATACATTATTCGATATTTTGCTAGATTGGGATTAAATCACCAATAATTGACTTCATTTATGTTTCACACTTTATTCCGATTTCATCGTTCTATCCATTTAATAAGTCAAATAAGTCACTCAAGCGTATCGGCCGAACGTTTTTTTTACACATTTTGTGAGCTTTCTGTATTTTTGTCTCGTATATTGTTTGTTATTATCCACAGTAATCCAGCGTATTTTCCTTCAATCATTCTTATCGGTTTATTTGGTTAGAGTGTGGCATAAACCTTCATTTCTCAATTACCATAATTTTTCTTTGTCGCGCCTCGTTTCCAATTTTTTTCTTCTATCTCTTCAATTTTTATTCGCACCAATAGAATGGTTACTTTTCGAAACGAACAATGCGAAGATTCGAACAAATTGAAACTGCCAACAAACGTTAAACTCTGTAATATGCCTCTAATGCAAAGCCGAAAGCAACATAAAACCGGGGGAGCGAAAAAAAAATATTGGGATTTGATTTTGGCTCAGAAACGGTGATCTTCCATTCGACGGTTTTTATGTTGAATTTTGGTGTAAATATTTTCTTTTCAATATAAAAACGTTAAAAAAAGAAGTGAGAAAAAAGACGAGAAAACCATATTATTGAGATTTCAGTGGATTCACTGTGAAACCATTTGCTGAATTATACATAAAAAATGACTTTGATAAAGTTTCTGTTGAGTTTCCGGTAAATACTCTCGATGGAGGGATGAAAAATCGATAAAAAAAGGAGAATCACAATTGAATATAATGACTTTTTATAGCATGATTGCATAATCATTTCGCTCCGGCGGACGATTTCAGATTGGTTCTTCATTGCAAAATAGTTGTCTGAATGTTCAACATTTAAATGTCTGTTTCATCGAAAATCGTAACCCCTTTTTTTCGATTGTATTTTCCATTTCCCAAGAAAACAGATGTCATATCTCTCAACAATATTTATGCCAATCCAACAACAATACTCGCAACTTGACGACGAAAATCTTGCTTTTGCGAGAGTTTATTTTTTGTTGTTGTCGACTTGTTCGAGGCGAGAAAACAATTTTTAAGCATCATTGTCTAGTTAGATTGCCAATAATAATACCGAAACACTGAAGTACAAGCTGAAAAATTTATTCAACACTCAAGCTATCCAACGAAATGAATGCAAACGTAAAACGTAATGGAATGAATGAACAAATTATCTTCATTTCTATGTTTACCATACTTTGAATATTCTTATCTTATTCCCTTGTTTTTGTTAAATTTTGCCTTGCAAATCTTCATAGTCACACGGTGCACATGAATTTGTTGGATAAGAAAAGACACACAAAATATGGTGCTGTAAATTACAAAACGAATAAAATGAATGTAAACAAAAATTCCCTGGGCGATTTAATTGCCAACAAAATACGACGGTTTTGCAACGATTTCACTGTTGTCGAAACGTGTAACACGTTACGTGTTTGCATTGTGAATATTTTGCATGTAATTTTTCATTCATCTCATGCCTAATTTAATCTTGAAATCGTTCATTTCGTCGCTGGTAATGCATTGAAATGGCCAAAGATCGATTGGCTAAACTTGGATTGTACACAGAATATATAGGACAAGGACAATGTGCATCACACGAATGAAGAAGAAAAAAAATGTCGTTAATCATGTTGAAATTGGCAAATTTTCCAAATGAAATGATAAGATGTGACATCCGATTGGCAATATCGAGCATTAAAATTTAGTGCCAAAAGAGGATGGCCAATAGAGAAATATATCTAAAAAAAAATGGCAATGTAGATAAATGTACACATTGACTGTGTTATACGCTGTATAGCATAATAGAAATTCAAGACGAGACTCAAATGCGGCACGAGAGATAGTGAAAAGAGCGATAGACAGAAAATCGAGAGAGAGAAAAAAAGATTATTTGAGTCGAGAGATAGAGTGATTCATCGGAAGCACGTGGAAGTCAATATTTCAATCGCTTACACTCAATACAGCATTTAAGATATTAGCGGTGAATTCTTTATGGGATAATCCTTGTTGACACTGGAATAAAATCGAGCCAACTATGCGTTGCAAGATATTTTGAAACAGAGCAAAAAAGAAACACAGTCGGCTAACAATGAGAATGACACTTTTACGACTTCAAAAGTGATTTATTTAATCTCATTGTTGATTTTTTTTTACTGATTGTGCATTTTCCTCTGCTGACATTGTATATTTATAATTGTTTCCAGTCTGGAGGCTATTTGCCGTGGTTTATTGGAAAATTTCTTCGAAAAGAGCAAATGAAATGTTTGGAATTTGGATGAGATACATTTTTTTTTTCACTTCGATTAAGAGAGTCAAGAGTGGAAAAGGTCAATTTTACCTTTTGTAAGGATAAAACTAAATAGATTATAGTGCTTAAATGGAACACGTTATTTGATTTATCAAGCACCAAAATGATTGAGACAACTACATTCGGATGAACAAATTCAGTCGGAAAACAAATATGCATTGACCCATTGAGCTGATGAAGTGGTGTTTCGGCTTCGCATTCCCAACACTCGACCTCGTCCAATATTTATCTCACTCAAATGGTCACATAAACGTCTAGCACAATGATGTGTTGACCATTGAAAAGAGACATTGAGCAAACGAACAGACGTGAGCCTCGATATTGAGCCACAATCATTTTTTTTGCAATGCAATAGTGTGACACGTGAAAAAGAGGCTAACATTGAGAGTTTATGGAGTTGTTCAGAGATGATTTGGTAACATCTCCCAAATGGTTGAAAACGAATCAAATCGTTTATACCACATATTTACTCTACTGTCAAAAAGCTGTACGCAGATTTACCCTTGTCTTTTTAATAAACCGGCCACTGGTATACCACAGCTGCGTAAAAATCTTCAGCCACACGCATGTAAAAAGTGAATTGGCCAGTTGAATAATCGTTTTAAAAGCATACGTACATGTGCACCAATTGCTCGCATTCTTTTATTAGTTGGTCGAGTATCTCTCTCTCTCTTGAATACAATGTCATTTAAAAAAGAGGGAGCATGTTTTCTCGATTTATTTCCTCATCTTCAATGAGGTTTGATGAATTATGGATGGGTACATTCTCATTATTGAAGATGGCAGGTGGTTCTGGTTTGTGTATTTCACCCTCGCTTGACCTACCTGGAGCGCACCACAGCATTACCACTACAATGTAATTGAATAAATGCCCTAGAAAAAACGAACGGCAACAACAACAGCAGGCATCGCACGCAAACCCATACTGATCCTAATAATAATATTTTGTATTCTTGCATCATAAATAGCACATTCCAATGTGTATTGTGGTAATTACACAATTCTCAGACAATGATCCACTCAACCAATAAAACAACATAACAAAAAATATAGTTCAAACAGTGAAATTGAGTGAATATGTGCAGTGTATAAAAAATAAAAGCAGAATATGCTGATAACGAAACTAATTCTTGTGCCAGAGTTAACTTATTATGCATCGCAGAGAACGATGTGATAATGTAAGGAGCTGCCGGTGTATGCGATAACGAGAACGATGTATGTTGAAATTAACACAGGAAATAAGCTTACTTGTGCACACACTTTTCTAGTCTCATAATTTCTTTTTCTCAATGGCTCGTCGTATTCTTCTGTGCACAACAAGATTCTTGCAAGTTGAATCGCATACGGTGTATGTGTATGTACGTTACATTTTCCATCTGAATGAGCTTTTGTCGTTTTATTACCATTATTGTGGAGTCATTATTCTCTCCGCATATACATACCTCGTAAAATGCTATACAAACCTTATTTTTTTGTTCTCTTTACGACTACAGTTGAATAATACTTACATTCATTGAATCAAATTGTGGGAAAAATGAAAGGCAAACCACACACAAGAGACAAAGTATGTGGCATTTGTATACAAATTGAATGTGTTAATATACACATCAAAGTGACACATCGATGTCACTAATTAACAGACCTAGGCTAGAATGTAATCGATCAGTTGTTGCCACCGATTGTTCTTGTTCACAGCAGTTGCATATAATCCATCGCGATAAGTGACTCAATAGCTATAAATGACCAATTTGCCTACTAATTAAAGTCATATTACTTACGTCTTTTGCTTAGACAAATTTCCAGTAGAAATAGAACACACTTTTCGAACAATTTACATAAAATTTATGCAAAGCAAATTATAAACCAAGCCACTTTTACTCAAAGTTCAAAGCTGTGTTCAATCATCAAAAACATCAAGTAAAATGCATGTAAATGCATCAGATAATTAATGGTTTCATTATCAATTACCATCAATTAGTCAAGCAAATTCTTAGTTGTTGCATTAAATACCAGGATAGATGCACTCCGGTTTTAGCTTTGATTTTGTTTCGCATACCTCATTTCCATTTTCATTGACCATGGCATTTGTTTATCTAATTCCTAGTTAAATCAACAGAGATTGCTGAAAACCATGCTTGATTCCTTTACCATGTAAATAAAAGAGTCATTTATTTATTTTGAATTTGCAAACATCAATTTATTTTGGAATATTCAATGTATTCGTGCTATGCATACTATTACAATGTATCATTTGTGTTCTTCATTAAGTTGTAATACAATTGATAAGAATTAAGAATAGCACATTAAAATATGTTGTGCATATGTAGATTAAAGTTAAGAGAAACACTGTTGTCTATTGATTTTCCGAGTTTCATTTAATCTTCAATGTATTCGAATGGTTCTGGAGCCTCTGGCTCTTTAGCTTCATCGCCCTTTGGGCCGCAGGCGGCAATTGGTTCGACCAGCTCTTCGGTATCATTTTGTTTAGCGCTGCGTTGTGTAACAATGATGCCACCAATCGACACATCCTTCAATGGAACATACGATTGACCGTCAACAATGCTGACCACCTTCAACTGTTGACGCATTACACGAGCCGGATTCTGTAAAATCTCAAAGTTTGGTTCCGGTTCTTTGCGTTCAGTCTTTGGTGCTGGTTCCTTATCTTTCGTGTCATCAGCAGTCGAGGTGCTGGCCGGTGATGCAACCGATTCCTCCTTGGCCTTAACGCTCTTTTTCTTTTCGTCTTTGTCATTGGCCGCAGCTTTTTCACCATCTTTAGATGAACCGTCGCCAGCTTTCGATTCCTTAATCACCTCTTTAACATCTTCGTCAATGTCCATTTTTTCTTCTTCACGCTTGTCAATGGTTTCGCGGCGCTTTTGACGTGCTGCAATCGACAAAACGGCCGTTGCAACCTTTTCACGTTCTTCGGCCTTTTTCTCTTCCATCGGTGCTGGATAGGCGTACAACGATGGTTTTGCTGCCGATTTAAATTCGATTTTCGGCATTTTAAGGTCCGAATTCAAGGCAATCACACAAGTTGGTGTGAATGCAAGCGACAAACAATGGGCCAATGGGAACCAATACCAGTATTGTGTGAAAATTAACATTCCAACAACCGCTTGCAAATTGGTGTGGCCAGTTCGTGACTGTAAGCTAACGGTTACATTACGACCGCCAGCATCGATAATACCTTGTGCTAGAATTGCACCAAATTTGGCCATTACGTCTTCGTGTTTGTTGGTAATTACTTCGTGATAAAGTGAACGGAAGAAGGACGTTTTTGGGCTGGTTTGATCAGTGTGTTGAATCAATATCATTGCCGACGCAATCTGAAATGAGTCAATTTGGAAAGAAAAACGCAAATTATATTTCAAAATTTATCATTATTGATGATAATGTCATGTATTTTTCGGGGCGGAAATTAGCACTCACCAATGCTCCTTGACGAACAAAGTTAACCGGATCGAATTTAACCATTGGCTCGAGTAATGCGATTGCCTCACGCAATCCAGTACCAGCACAAGCAATTCCCAATGCCATGGCTGCACCATAACGAACGTGCGGATTGTAAGATTCAGCCAGCAAAGATACCACAGATGGACATTGTTCCGGTGTTCTGAAATTACATAAAATCACGAATTACATATTAAATTTTATTTCGCCATTCACAAATACTACTTTTTAAAAATAAAATTGCTACATTTTGGTATGCATACAACATGGATCTATCGACTGCAATGAGAAAATGGCGGGAGCATTAATGTCATTTCATTAAATTTGAAGATGAAACAGTAATTGTACGGGCTAATTATTCTCAAATAACCAAAATTATTTTATACCGACCACACAAAGTTGTGGTTCATTTGGATCGATACTCCGTATCTATCTTCTAATATATCTTTGCAACGGAATGAATTTTATCGTACAGAAATGATTTCATTTATTTTCAAAATAAAAACCGAAACGGTTTTAAATTACATATTCAACCTAATGTTTTCGTTGAACATTAAAATCCGTCATTCAAACCCCCAAAATAATAAATATCCACATTGGCGTGTCATGACACCAACCGATCCAAATTATGAACGAGAACTAGAAACATTCAATGAGAATAATAACGACAGTAATTTATTATTAATTCCATTGTGTGGTTTGTCAATAAAAAATGTGGTATTTTTCATTACACAATGTTCGGATGCTATTCGGCTATTGTTTTATTCTTCAGAGCGCACGTGTGCAACTACGTAAATAATCAGAAATGACAAATATCTATTGTGTCTTCTTTCGTCAATATGGTATGTTGTTATTTCAAGCACTATTCTCCTTTTCATTTTTCTTTCTTCGTCACTTTCTTTTCACGCATAATACTTATTGAAATTCATTGTATTCTGTATGTGTATTGTGGTTCATTTTATCATCATTTTATCTCCCAATCAATGCAATAGCTTTAATTCTACGCAGCCAAAGCATGCAATGAATTTTCACACAGAACAATCGCTGTTTTTTCGCTGCTCATTTATCATTTTTTCCCCAAAATCATTTTTCGACCGAATTAGTTTTGCTGATTTTGCTATTTTTGCGAATGATGATGACTGGCAGGTTATTCAATTTTTATGTGTATTCGTTAAAAAAAAAAACGAAGTCTATATAATAGTCGACGCGATGTACGGTGGTATCGAGTTCATAACACTTTGACAGCACTCAATTAATGTTTCTGTTTCACTCTTGGAAAATAATGGCATCTAAACGGTTTATTACGCTGTAGTAGAACACCATGGATAGTACGAACAGAAGAGAGAGAGAGAGAGAGAGGTCCTCTCATCGGTTATTGAATGTATAAGTGGTTCATAGTTCAATGTGAATGAATATGCTATATTGAAAGACGAAAGCACATTATAAAGCATGTAATTCACTTAGAGAGCAGTATTAAATTTCATCGACGCACTTTGTTTGTTCGCTTGGCAACACCTAGGCAAAATTTCATTATGCGGCTAATGGACAGCTTATTTTCATCTTTTTCTCTCTTTTTCCGGGCATTTTTTCGTAAATTAAAATTATTCGCTAATTAAATTCAACAAATGACCAATCAACTTTCTACAAATGTTATCGATAATTTTTGTTGATAAAGGGGAAAAAATCAAAGCACCTTCAACTTTGAAACATTTGGCGGAAGGTTTGATTTAAACGTTAGATTGAATAAAGCCAAATTCAATGGGGGAATATTTTTTTTTTTCAAAAAGCCTTTCGTATACATTTCTTCTTTCTTTTTTAATTCACAGAAGAAGAAAACGCCAACAAAATTAAGATAAGAAAAAAAAACCTTTGTGAATGGTGAAATTGCTTTTTTTGTAGCTGCTCAAGTACGTTGAATCTAAATATAGATCGTTTTCTCTCGTCTCTAATTTATTTGCCTTTTTGGGGAAAAATATTGCTTGGTAATACGAATGTTTGCTCTTTTTTTTTCATTGCGTATTTCATAACTTAAATCGCAAGTTCATTCTTTTTTATGCATTACATCTTGCGAACTTAATAGAAATTTAAATCGATTTGGCGTCGCACCGTTTATTTTTATATTTGACTCGTTTTTATTACACTCGTTCACCACTTCGCTTCGTCGATACAAGACGTTTTTCATAATACATTCGCCATAGTCGCTTCGAATGTTACGATTGTTTACCAAATCATGGAATTCATTTCACACAGTTTATTTCTCTCTCTCTCTCTCGGTATTGGCTGTTGAATGTTCCCTTGTGAAATGCTCTTCGTCCATATTATCGCCATTCCGTTTCACTGGGTATGGTGGATTTTTTACGCTGTCCGCTCCTTTGTGCAATTTATTATTTTCATTCTCAATGCGGTTTACATATAAATTCACTAGACACTCTCCAGCTGCGGAACGAAGCATGGCTGAACTGAATTATAACCGTAAGTTTTTTTTTTTGTTGTTGCGCGTATACATTGTTTTCATTCATGCTTTTGAATTGTGTCTTTTTTTTCTTACTTTGTTAACATTTTGCATAGAAATATGGTGAATTGTATAACATGAAGGTATAGACTTTTCTTAGGAACATTTGTTCCATTTTCGTCCTTCAATCAGTAGATTATGCTAATAATGGAACTTCTGAAAGTTGATTTTGAGTCGCATGCGAAAAACTGTATTGCTTAAAGACTACAATACGTTAATAACAAGAAACATAGGAGGAAAAAGTAAGGAAGCATTGAAGTTTGAAGAAATTCATTGTGTACTTAGGTTGCCTTCGGCCGCACTCATATATTGCATAAAGGCACATATGGCTTATTAAAAAAGCTTTACAGACAGTTAAGCACATCTACTATATGTATATGTCTGTGTTATCATATTAGGTAGTAGTCCTTTGTTGCGGTGAAAGCGAAAAAAAAGGTTCACAATAGGAGAAAGTAAGTGGCATAATTTTGACGGGACGGCTTTTCCACAGCTGATATACCGGATTTGTTGTACAGACGTTGTGAGATGCAGCTAAACGAGCATAGGTAGATCGCTTGAGAAACGAGGCATATGACCATATCTTATTTACTGTTCACTTTGTTAAACACAGGAAAAAAACATGCAATCCTCTCTCCTTGTGTGCAGCGAGTTAATGATGTGGATTTCAATCGTATCTCTAGTCACATAATATAAAACCGCATTTTAAGTGGAAGATTTATTATATATAAATAAATGATGATTCTATGCTAAATGTGTCTATATATGCTCGGTTATATTCGATTACATAAACCTCATGCTTAACTTGACGAGATTTCAAAACCGAATGTAAGTATGTAGGCTCCAATGTTCAATTAATTTACGAATATAACTCGGTGTGAAAGATTCACTTGTGGGTTTCGTTTATAAATCGATCAACGATAAAACAAAATGACATTTTCGAACTGTTTGATTCAGCTCGAAAAAAAAAAACACAATCTGCAAATTTTTAAATTGGAAAATGTAATATTTGTTGAACGGTGAAAACTGTAATTTTTATAAAAATTGTATTGAAAATTAGAGATTAAAACAATGAACACAATCGATATCTGCTGCTCCGAAGTCGACAAGGCTGGTAGCTGGATATTCGATCGGGTATAGTGATTCATTGTGAATGGTATTGTACAAAATGTTGTGATAAATACAGTCTGTGATCAGACGGTGAATAAATAAATAAAAAAAAAAAAAAAAAAACAAATAGATTAATTTGTCATTATGGCGGCTTCATTCCACTGTGTGACGGACGCCATATTTAAGAAGTTATTGACTGTGTAGTGCATATGATTGCCACATTTGTTGGTCTCTATGGAATATCGTCTGATGTCATTGTCTGGATTTTGAAAAGAGCTTTAGCGCATTCGGAGCCGTAATCCAAAATCAATTTTTCAATATAAAAATTCGTGCTAAATCCAATCAACGATTATTATCATTCAGCTATTGTTTGGCAGCGAAGAAGAATAAATCGCATATTTACCACACGTTTCACTGATTGCTTTTCACAATATTCGTTCTATTGCTGGTTTTATAAGACAAACACTTTGGCTACACATGTCATGCGACCGAAATATATTTTGCATTTTATTTCATTGACGCGGTAAATTCGACAATATACCGATATTTGCATTGATTTCTTTCACTTTCTGCACTTGTCACCGATTGAAAAACGAATCAAATCTTAAAAACGTATTCTGGAGCGTGTCTGATACCATCTGTCAATGCATTTTGCATCTTTTAAAGCTCGAACTTTGAATTTAAGTCGTCGCAAGTTCAGAAATCTAATTTTAAATTCCATTGACATAAGGGGATTTGGCCTTTTTTTCTCGGGTATATCGTGTGTTGCCTTGACCGATTGATTGTTAGCACCTTCGCATTTTGCATGTCATTCAACGTGAATCGATTTGTCATTGTCGCTTTTGTTTCGGCAGACTTTTTCAATTGCTTTTGCAACAATACTATTGTTTACTTGATGTGCATAGGTAGAGTGAATAAAAAAAAGTGATGGTAAATAAAATTCCGACCAACCATTGTGTGGGAGGTGCGTGTGTGTGTGGTGCCATTTTATTGCAAAACAATTTTTGATGGCTGTCTGTGCCATATTCTTATTGATGTTTCTCGAAATTGCTTATTATATTGATTTTTTGAGCGTGCATTTTATCGCTCTTTTTTCATCGTCAGTTCAAAGTAACCACTAATTATTTATAATTCAACAAAAGTTTCCATATTCTCAGCATTCTATTTATATGCAAATTTATTCGGTTACTGTTCAGTCATTCATTCTTCCATTCATAATTTTTACGATTAACGGCTTGAAAGCCATTAGATCAACTACAAAAAAACTTCGTTGAAAAGTGTTAAGAATAACATTTTGTTCGGCCAACAACTTCATTAAAAATATTATGTCAAACTTTTTCCATTTTTTTCCCTCCAATATACTGTAGTTTATCAAAAACTTTTTTTCATGTATGTTGCTGTTTATCCGGAATTTTTTTTTCCTTTCGCTACTTCCTGCACACTCAGAGGTAAGGGTTTATTGTTCGATTGCTTTGGGTTACGTTCAGCCGCACGATGCAATTTTATTACATGTCTTTTGTAGATGGGTGTTATCTGTGCATTTA